GTTGACCCTCCTGTCATCCTTGTCTAATAATCTTTGGTTTTTCACTGCCACTCCTAAACAAGCTGGCCAGAACTAAATGCAATACTAACAAAAACACCTGGAACAATATTGTATTGTCGGAGCCTCTTCCTTACCAACAGCTGAAAATCACATTAAATCAAATAAATACAACCTGGCACCTAGACCTAGTGCTGCCCACCAGAATCTTCTGTGACAATAGAATGTTCTAAGTGTCTGCTGTCCAAGAAGGCAGCCACTAGCCTTATGGGGCTATTGAGCACTTGCAATATAACTGATGTGACTGAGGAACTTTATTTCTTATTCCATACAGTTTTAATTAATTTAAACTTAAATAGACATACACCGATATTAAAATTTCAAGAAATCACACAAATTAAATCTTATTCAATGTACTGTAAGTTTACTTGCTAGTAGGTACCTGTAAGACTAAAGTGAAGTAAGCTGAAATGAGGAGGTATTTTCTGGACTCTGAATGAGACCCCAATTTCTAAGAAAAAAAAAAAAAAATGTCTCTTAGAATTTTATTGGCTGCTTATATCGGGCCCTTGAATGCATATGACTAACAGAATAAACCAAAACCAAACTCACTGGCCGTCAAGTCGATTCCGACTCAAAGTGACCCCTCCTTGGGTTTCCGAGGCAGTTTCTCTACGGAAGTAGATTGCCCATTCTTCCGAGGAGTGGCTGGTGGGCTTGAACCACACCACCAGTCTTCTGGTTAGCAGTCAAATGCCTTAGGCACTATGCCACCAGAGCTCCTAAATAACAGACTAGAAGACTTAATGCTCTTTTCCACTGGCTATACTATTAGTAATTTAGAATTGATATTCTAAATGTTGTTGTTGTGTGCCGTTGAGTCAGACCCGACTCATAGCGACCCCTCCTTGGGTTTCCGAGGCAGTATCTCTACGGAAGTAGATTGCCCCATATTCCTTCCGAGAGACAAAAACAAAAAAAAATTCAATGTTTGCAAAAGTAAATGATTTAAGGATATAAAAACTACAAATTACCATAATTCTTACATATTCAAAAACCTACTAAAGGTTTCCATTTGTAGTCAACACTCCCCAAAATAAGCCTCAATCTCCCATCCTCCTCCAAGAAGGCCCTGCTCCTCACTCATTCTTTATTTCCAAATCAGAAAAGGGCGAGTCACTCCAGTTGCCCAGGCCTAAACCTTGGTGTCATAGCCTTGACTCCAACTTTCCCCCACATTCCAAATTCAAATCTAACACTGGCTGTTTCCCCTGCCTGGAATGTTCATTCCCATGCCTGTTTTATCTGCATGGCTTGCTTCTTCCCCTCCATCCAAGCTTTGCTCAGATGACATCTCAGGGAGGCCTTCCCTACCAAACTACAAACCTACCACCACTCTCCCTATTTTCCTTCCTTCGTCTCCACAGCACTTATCATCACGCAATATACTATATTTTTTACCTACCTGGTCCCATTAGAAGTAGGCTACGGGAGAGAGTGGATGTCTGTCTGTTTTGTTCAATGCTGTATCGCCAGTGCCTGGCACATAAGGTACTAAAATACTGGTTGACTGAATGACTCAACAAATCTTATAAATTATATACACAAAAGGACACAATCAAGGATAGAAAGGAAACATAAGCAGAAATAACTGACTAGAGCAGTGGATTGAATTTTTTCAATAAATAAAAGCAGGTGAAAGAACAATTGCTGTTTGAGGTATAGCATTTGGAGTCTCTTAGGAGATAACCTTCCACAAACCCTCTGGCTCAGACATCCCTTTTCTACTTCTGTCCTCATCCACTGCTGCTCCATCTTTCATAACTCTTTCCACAACTTGAAATTATCTCAATAAAAGAAAATAAATTTTAATGTAAACATTATTTAGGTTGTCGTGAACCCTGAATTAAACAGGGTCACAGTTGTTTTAAACTAAGCTAATTTGTTTCACAGACATATTAGTTATGAAATACCATATTTTTCATTTCTATAGATTTGTACTGTCCAATATGCCAACTACGAGCCGTATGTGACTATTAAGCTCACTAAAATTATATTAACAATTCAGTTCCTTAGTTGTACTAACCACATTTAAAATGCTCAATGCCACATACAGGCAGCAGCTACTAGACTGGACAGCACAGACACTGAACATTAGAGAGACTAATGTTTACAATATTAAAAAAAATAATAAATGTTGCCATTGAATCAATTCCAACTCACAGTGACCCTATAGCAGAGTAGAACTGCTCTCATAGGACTTCCAAGGCTGTAATCTTCATGGAAGCCGACTGCCACATCTTTCTCCCGTAGAGCAGCTGCTGGGTTCAAACCGCCAACCTTTCAGTTGACAGCCAAGAGCTTAAACCACTGCACGACCATAATGTAAGCTGTGACCTCTTAGGGGATCTATCATTACAGTCTAAAATAGCCTATAAACATATTGTTGTTAGGTCCAATTTTATGTAAAAGAACAAACTTGCCCAGTCCTGTGCCATCACACAGCTATGTTTCTATTATGACATCTTGTAATACAGAAGAAAAACTCAGTAAATATTTTCAATAAAATTACTATAGTATTGAAACTGAATTAACTATGGACTTCATTTCTTTTGAAAAACCATTTAAACTGTAATGTGCGTCACCTCTCATTTGCAGATCTCTTTTTCAGTTCAACAGCAACAGAATCATTTTCATCTTTTCTCTAAGAATTCAGTTAGAAGCCTTTAAATTAGGAAGACTACACAACAGTGGAATTACCATGAAGGAGGAAGGACTTTCCTTTTTTGTGCCAAATGAAGTTTTTACATGGCTAAGTATTATTTTTATAGTAAATTACTAATAAATTAAAAAAAGAAATACATTAGCCAGAATTATCTCAGCAAGAAGTTGAAACTAAAGTTGCACAAGTGTTACAAAAGAGGTTAAGGAACTTAACTACACTAATTTCCTCTCAGGCCTCATAAATGTAACACAGAACTAAACATCCGCAATATGACAACAATGCATCTTAAATATTCCTTATTAAATTTTCTGACAGAAAAACATCCTTAGACATTTTAGCTAAATGGTTCACACCCACCAGCCACTCCTGGCAAGGAAGACCGGGCAATCTACTTCCATAGAGATACCGCCGCCTCGGAAACCCAAGGAGGGGTCGCTATGAGTCGGAACCAACTCCACAGCAGTGAGTTTGGTTTTTATAGTAATGCAACACATTAAAGTGAATATAAAGCCACTGGAAAAAAGATCTAGTCTCGGCTTAACATAAATTTGGCCCCAAAATGGAGAGATTTCAAGAGACTGATTGATCACAAATTTCTGACACAGTCGAGTGTCTACTGGGATTACCTACTGATAGAAAACTGATCACACTTCATGTAGAGAATGTTTAGGGTGTGACCTCTGCAATAGCATGCACACAAACCATGTTAAAAAATTTTATTAAAATACCACATATTGAGCATATGTGCAATCCACAGGAACCTAAATCATATCCAGTTCTAATCAAATATCCTTCCATAAAGCGGACAACAGCAGTGCTTGATAGAATTCTGAAATCTAAATATTCTTCATTACTAAACACCAACAACACAATTTCCACATTTTAAATATAGCTAAAAAAAGAGAGAGAAAGTCATATGACTAGTTTTAAGTACATAAACTATAACCATATATCAGACAATGCTACTTATTTTCTCTTATTTATCTTTGTATTCCTAGCCCAGATACAGGCATATAATGGACATTTCATTGGCATTTGTGGAAAAAGGAATGAGAACTAAGGCTTTTGAAAGGATTAAAAAAAATTTTCTTTTTAATGGTCTCAGACTTCAAGGCTGCAAATCCAGTTGGGAGATAGGAAAACACATGAAAAGCTAAATAACATATGACAATTAAGACCACGTGGCACATATGGTTATTTGGAAAGTTAGTAGCAAAGAGAGTGCTTTAAATTCTGACCAGATAAACTGTAGTCAATGTCATGAGACAAGGTGTATGTGAACTGCTTTATGGAAAGTGATGTTGCTCTGTAAATTTTCACCCAAATCACAATTTAAAAAAAAAAAAAAATTCTGACCAGAATGAGACTGTTATGGACTGTGGTCCTTCTGGACTTCGGAACAGACAATGACATTGAATTTCAATTTATAAAAAGAAAGTGACACAGCACTCATGGGACCCCGAAATTATCAACAGAAGAAGAAATAAAATAACTACAGCGAACAGTGTAAAGAAACTCCCATACAAGGTTTTTTAAAGCATACGGTATCCCTCACACACAATCGTGTGCTGGGGTCCCAGGACCTCTGTAGGCTCCTGAAGTACAAGTCCCTCAGGAACAGCATCCACTGCTTATCTCTTCCTCCACTTCCCACGGAGCTTTCCACTGGGCACCGCCCGAGAAATTTCTCCCAACATCCGCAATGGCAACACTCTCATCTTCCTCACCCTCCCCTCGCCGGTATCAGACAGTGGCATCTCCCTCCAGAGGAAAAAACGGAGGGCGGGGGAGGCAGAATAAGACAGAAAGCTTGCAGCGAGGCTGATTATGAAAGAGGAAGGTGAGAAAACGCGGGGGGCGAGGGTGGGGCACCCTCAGTTCCAGCCCCGTCTCTAGGTGGCCTGGCCAACACCACCCCACCGCGAGGGCACACCCCTCGCCCGCCGGACTCTGACCAGCAGGCTGCGGACTCGAGTGACAACCTCGCCATCTGTGCCGCACTCCCTCCGCCCAGCCTGCGGGAAGACAAGTTGCCCTGCCCCACCAGCAGCGGAGCTTGGCTTTTTCTCTCCCCTTCCCGTCCACGTCGCCAGTGAGTGACAGGTCCCGGGGGAGGTGAACGCAAACGCAAACCGTTGGACACTAGCGGTGCGACCCTGCGCGGAAGCCCTCCGATAGACGCTGGGGGTTAGACAAAACGTTACGGCACGGCCCTGGGGGACCCGGTCCAGGCCCGGCCTGCCCCAGTTGCCCCACGCCGGGCGGGGGTGGCACTTACTGCGGAGATTGTGGATTAGCTCCGAGTGGCTGGCGCCGCCGGATTTCCAGGCCATCGCTAAGCACACCCGGAGCAGGTACAGAACCACCTTCAGCGCGGCGACCGTGCCCAGCAGCTTCCCCAAGAGTGAGACCACCTCCCACACGGTCACCGCCCCGCTCGCGTCCCCGCTGTAGTCGCTGCTGCTACTGCCGTCGCCGCTGCTGCCGCCACTGCGCGCTCCCGGCATCCCCCGCGGCACGCATGCGCTTTGTGACGCCGCGCGGCCCGGGGTGCGGCCGGAGGCGGGGGTGGAGGTATTCCTCGCGCGCGCCTGTTGCTGCAGCGGTTGCCCGGGACCCGCAGGGAGGCGGAGCTGAGTCAGCGCCGCCACTGCGTGCCCCTTTCGGAGATCTCCGGCTGCAAGCTGCCTCTTCCCTGGGTTCTCCCGGTAGCCAGGCTGGTTGGGCTGGGGTGCGGTGGGTCGCGTGCCTGGTCGCGGCTGTGGTTACCAAGCGCGACGGCGGGATGGCGAGGCTGATCTCCGTGCCTCCGTGTCTGGAGGATTTGGGTTCGCCGCTACCGGTGGCTCTGCTTTCGCCGCTGGGTCAGCCGCTGGGAACGGCGGGTCTGCTCCTATAGCTGTCAGGTTTGTTAGATGGTAGGCTTCCTCCGTCCTGCCTCACCCAACCCAGTTGACTAATATTTAGGCCGGTTAGAGTCAGAGCTCTCTGTGAGAGAGCCTGAATAATCCTAATAGAACCCGAGAACAAAGTCCCTCTCCAGCCCGAGTACACCAGCCTCTGGCTCTGTGATAAGCACTTCACTGTTTGATTAACTGAGATTTTGGGACCCTGCTTCTCAATTCTAAAGCACACGTCCAGAATGGAAGACTATCATGCCATGGGACGGGGAAGAGGTGCACTGCTCCTTAGAATAATAAAGGCGTAAAGATGCACAACTGGTTAAGAATACCACAGTGCCCTGTGGTGAATGTTTCATGTTCCCAACACAAGCTATTGGGAGGGAAAACACTGCCGTCCCATCGATTCTGACTCAGCGACAAGAGTAGAACTGCCCCATAGGGTTTCCAAGGCTGTAAATCTTTACGGAAGCCAACTGCCTCATCCTTCTTCTGCGGGTAGTCAGTGGATTCCAACCGCCAACCTTTTCACTAACAGCAGAATGTTTGAACTATTGCGCCCCCAGATTGGACGCCAGGTGTTGCTATCAGCTCAGAGGATGAGCGAAAAGCCCACAGGAGACATTGCCTGACTGCTAATCATAACTAACTGACAGTTCGATCACCGTTTAGTCCAATAAACGTTAAGGAAAGCAAAGCTGTGTCCAAGACAGCTATGTTACTGCACCAGCAGCACGTGTTTTTTGTTTCTGTTTGTTTGTTTTTAAAAACACTTGTCTTTCTGGTGAGTAGCTCTGGTGTCTCTGTTAAGGCATCTGGCTGCTAACCAGATGGCAGCTGTTCAAACTCACCAGCTGCTCCGCGGGAAGAAGATGAAGCAATCTACTTCCAAAGATTTATAGCCTTGGAAACCCAATGGGGGTCGCTATGAGTCAGAATCTACTCATGACAATGGGTTTGGTTTGGTGTGTTTTGTGTTTTTCTAGGATCCAGTAAGCATAACTGAAACCACACTCAAAAGTGTTCTTTACTTCAACCTTAGGAGTAAAAGTGTTAGTTTGGAACTCCAATTAATTTAGTAGTTTTCCATTTCATCTTTCTGCAGCTTCCTGATGCTCTTCTGGTTGGAAAAACCGTAACAAAAAAACATGGAGTTCTTAAGAGGAACCTGATAACTCTCAAGCTGACCTAGCTTTACTGCATTTACATGTGGTGCTTCCAGAAACTGTAACTGTGAAATAAGACTATCAGATACAGGAAGCTACAACAACAACATCTCATCCCGTTTTAGAGGAACAACCAATGCAGTTATGAAAACCTATAGCTTCAAGGAGATAAAAATATGGACAAGTATGCAGCTCTTGTACCCAGTAGCATTTACAGTCTAGTTAGGCAGAATTGCATCAAAAGAAAACTATCATAGAGGGTGATGTATGTGCCATCAGTGGTCTATGTATCAAATGCTGTGTTTATTTAGATCATCATGACTGAGGTAATCAGGAAAACGTACAGGAGGGAACTGATCCTTGAAGGATGTGCTACATTCTGAGGAGAGAGGAATGGGAAGAATATTAAAAGTACAGCCCAAAGCACAAGGAGATCTGGCGGTGCAGTGGTTAA